GGTCCGGGCTGGGGATTCGAACCTGCCACCTTAGGTGTACGTGGCTGGCGCCTTAGCCGGTTGAGCTATAGGCGCCGAGCCAGCCATTTTTTTATTGCAGTTGTCATTGTTGTTTAGCTGGCCTGGACTGGGTTTGTACCCACCAGCCTCCGTGTATGTGGCTGGCACCGCACCATAACCACTATGCTACAGGCGCCCGGTCTAGAACCCCATTTTTTAAGTGTGGAGGGAAGAAAGGGAAGACAGTAAGGAATAAAAGGTCATAGACTCATAGAAAGTCAACCCTCGATGGCCCCTTTGAGCCTACTGGGTTTCCAAATGGGGAAACCAGGGCCCCCCAAAGGGGCAGTGACTACTTCAAGGTCAGGCTTTCAGTTCAGAGCAGAACCAGAACTGGAACTCAGAGCTCCCCAAATCACAGCTGGGGTGTGCAAAGGATCTAATAGAGAGAAAATAGGGAAAGAAGGAAGAGGAGGTGCTCACATAAAGATGCCGGATATGAAAATGCATGCAGGCCGTGGAAACTAGGCGTTTGGGTCTGGAAGACCATCTTTAGGCACCGTGTAGGGATGTGTTTTACATTTTAAAGCATGTGACTACACAGACTCTGAATTGGTAATATTCAGAGGTACAAAAGAAATAACATGCAAAAAATGGGGAGATGGGAGGTTGGACTCTGCTTGTCTTGCAGGCAGGAGCCAGATCTATTCATCCGCGCTGAGGGTGTGCCTGGCACACAGTGGTCAAAGAATAAATATTTATGCAACCAACATTTACAGAGCAGTAAATATTTACTGCATCTCCTGACTACGCTGCTGTAGGCTCCCGGGTCTCTGCCCTCGAGGAGCTGACATTCCAGTGGGAAAAGTACAGACTTAAGTGGACCCATAAGCCATCTCAGATTGTGATCATGTCCTGAGGATACGGACACAGGGCAGTGACGGGGAAGACCTCTCCTAATAGAGGAGAGAGTCTTTTGGTAAGGAGGTTAGGGCTGGGGAAAGAGTGCTTCCACGTCGGGGAGTACCCACTTCCATGACCCTGATGGGAAAATGAGCGCTGCCTGTTTTGGGGAGCAGGAGGCAGCCCAGGGGGGCCATGGCACAAGGAGCCTGGGCAGGTGGTAGGTCAGAGGCTCCCAGTGCAGTGGGCCAGGACCTTCATGCTAGTGTTAGGGGAGCCTCCAGGCAAGTTAGGCCTGTGAATGGAAGCTTCCCCTCTCTTTTGCAGTTAACCCCGTGTTTGATCCAGCAGAGGACAGCAAGGACTCCAGTGCCAACGGAGCCAGGCCGTCTGTCTGCGGTGCACGTCAGTCCCCCACTCAGAGGCCCAGGGCTAGTGGTTGGCCACCTAGGAACTTGGTGAAGGGCAGTTTTTCCAAGTGACAGTGGCACCTGAGTAACATGTTGGGTAACTGGAGAGAATTGGCCTATGTCAAAGATGGCTACACTTAGTGGGGAATTCAGCGTCAGGGTGTCATGGGAACCCACCTAGAGGGCTCTGGGGCCTCTGCTTGGCCCCTTCCAAGGCCCCTCTGGCCATGCCCAAGTGTTCTGGACAGGGAGGGCTAGAAAGGGGTTCTGCTTCCTCCTCGTCTCCCACCGATGACCTGGGAGGCAGGGGACCTGCACTGCCAGCTTGAGGGCATCCTGTGGAGCTTCTGAAGGGAGCAGGGGAGTGTTGAAGAGAATGGAGCAAGTGCTTCCTAGGATGGGCTGCCCTGAGGGCTCTGGGACTCCTCCCACTTCCAGTGCCCACCTATATCCCGGGAGAGAGGAGCTGGGAGCAAGGCAGGGCCATGTCCGAGCATTGCGCTGCCAGGCCCAGCTCCTGTTCTACCTGTCCACGAGCCCCAGCATCAGAAAGGCACTACCAGTGCTCAGGCCAGGCCTGCCCGGGAGCAGGCCTGCAGGAGGGTGCTTCTGGTCCAGGGGACAGATGGTAAGTTCACTTCACAGAGCAGCTGGCCTGTTCTGACCTGCCCCTTCCCTCCTGCAGTGGACCCTGAGGCCCTGGTGCGGGAGGAGCAGGCCAGCACCATCTTCCAGTCGGAGCAAGGCAAGAAGACCATTGACATCTACTGGCTGTTTGATGATGGAGGTCAGTGTGCTCTTCCCACAGGCTGTCCGTCATCCTCTGCCTCTCCTGGCCTCCCCTTCCTGCCTGCTCTCAGCGAGGCCTCTGGTGGGACCCAGAGCCCAGCAAAGGGGATAGGGTCCCTTAGGCCTAACAGTGAGCTGGTTAGGCCTCTGGTTTTTTAATTATAAAATGGAGAATTTTAGGGGAGGATCTGAGGTCAACATGAGATAGCACCTTCTGGCTGGGCAGCCCTCAGGGGTCATGGCACATGAAATCAAGGGGGCAGATGGGCATTTTTCTTTAAAACATGACTCTTAGCTCTATCATTTCCACTTTTTTTTTCAATAGAGACAGAGTCTCACTTTATCACCCTCAGTAGAGTGCCGTGGCGTCACAGCTCACAGCAACCTCCAACTCCTGGGCTTAGGCAATTCTCTTGCCTCAGCCTTCTGAGTAGCTGAGACTACAGGCGCCCAGCACAATGCCCAGCTATTTTTTTGTTGTTATTGTTGCAATTTGGCACCCTACCCTCGCCGCCCCTATCGTTCCCACCTTTGATTGCATCATAGACAGAAAACATCTCTGCTGTAATAGAATGTGTCCTATCAGTGACAGCTAGTGCAGACACTTTCAACATGCCCGATGCTGAGTGCCCTACGGGGGATAACTTAATGCACCCCCCTGGGAAGGACTGTTACTAATTTCTTTTGTAAATAAGGAAACTGAGGCACAGGGGAGTATGCAGTGCTGTGTGACAGCTGCCCCCAGCCTGTATGGAGGGAGGAGGGCTCTCACTCATTGGCCAAATTTTCAATCTTCAAGCAAGGCCAGCAATCTATGTTTTCACGTGAAACACCCCAATTGTTAAATGCCAGTTTGTTTATTTAAAAATATCGCACAAGCCAAAATAAACCCCACTCCACAAAACACCACGTGCAACTTGGGTCTAGTCAGGCGTGTTTGTTATACAGATGTATAAACTGAGGTCCAGAGAGGGGAAGGGGCTTCCCAGCAGCAGAGCAGGGCGGGAACCCACGTCCTGCTCTGTCCTGAGAGTGTTCTCCTTTTGACCCCTGGGGACCCTGCTTGCCAGGCCTCACCCTCCTCATCCCCTACCTCCTGGGCCGCAAGAAGAGGTGGAGGAAATGCAAGATCCGCGTGTTCGTTGGGGGCCAGATCAATAGGATGGACCAGGAGCGGAAGGCGTAAGTGGGCGCAGGAGGAGCCTGCACAGCCCCAGGCTCCTCCCAGCTCTACCCAAGGCTGCTCCTCCCCCTCCCACCCCAGGCGGCCCTGGGATTGTCCCAAACCCAGGCCACAGCAGTGGTGAGTGGGGCTCTGGGCAGGAACAGGTTTCCCTCCATTCCAGAAATTGTTCTGGTTTCCTGCCCACTTCAATAACACACAGATGCCCTGCTCTTTGTTGTCACAGGGAAAGGTGTTAAGTTTTTTTTTTTTTTAGAGACATAGTCTCACTTTATTGCCCTCCGTAGAGTGCCCTGGCATCACACAGCTCACAGCCAACCTTCAAATCCTGGGCTTAGGCAATTCTCTTGCCTCGATCTCCCGAGTAGCTGGGACCACAGGCACCTGCCACAACACCTGGCTGTTTTTGTTGCAGTTTGGCCAGGGCCTGGTTTGAACCTGCCACCCTCAGTATATGGGGCCGGCGCCCTACCCACTGAGCTACAGGTGCCATCCAGTGTTAAGGTTTAAAGTTGCAAATCTCAAGGAGAAACTTGTATGAAATGAAGGATGGGGAAGGCCCCTCCCCCTGAGAAATGACATGGGGATCAGACTCCTTTAGGACAATGTCCCCAGAGCCCACAAGGCAGGCTCTGGTGGGACAAAAAATGACTTTAATGATCTGGAGATGGGGCAGCAAACACCACCAAATCTTTTGGTAAGAAGTGACTTAATCCTCCTCCAGTTCCAGCAAAGGCCTTGGATTGGAGTTGGCCTTTCTGCTCAGTAACCTATGCTAATCTCTCCCTCCAAGCAAGAGTGGCAGGCCTGGGCTCATCATCTGGCCAGAATTTAATGACACTGGGTTATTTACGTGGGCTTCCTTAGTCACCTCAAGCTGGCAAGAAAGGCTGGTGGTCTGTTTAAAAATATGATAGAAAATTTCCATTTGAAATGTACATAAATCAGAATGTGAGTTGATTTAAACAGGAAAGGAAACAAATGGCAAGGCAGGTGGCACACAGGTGTGGAGGTGACAGGAGTCAGCAGGTGGACTCAGGCAACTGCTGCTTTGGAGCGAGGTTAGGTGAAGTTGAAGGCTATAGGCTGGGGGTCTGCTGGAGCGTGCAGATAGGTGGGGCGGTTTGCCCCAAGTTGTGCAACAAATTGGGAACCCCTGCTTGGTCTCTAGCGCCCTATGCAACAATCCTGGCTATGAGGTCCCAGAGTCAGGATAAGGAGGGGACCCCATGGCCTTTGCCACTATTTCTTTCTTTCTTTCTTTCTTTCTTTTTTTTTTAAGACAGAGTCTCACTATGTCACCCTGGGTAGAGTGCCATGGCATCATATCTCACAGCAACCTCAAACTCTTGGGATTAAGTGATCCTCTTGCCTCAGCCTCCCAGGTAGCTGGGACTACAGGCACCCACCACAATGCCCGGCTATTATTTGGTTATAGTTGTCATTGTCGTTTGGCGAGCCTGGGCTGGATTTGATCCACCAGCCTCAGTGTATGTGGCTGGCGCCTTAGGTGCCGAACCATTTGCCACTATTTCTAAGCCAGGGTTACATCCCTGCAACCCCCTTCTCTAGTAAACCACATGAGCTAAGGGCAACTCAGCAATCCCTTATCCTCACCCTGCTGAGAACTTCTCCCCCCATAGATCCCATCTCACAAGACCAACAGCTTGGGGAAAGTAGCACCTGGCTTCTCTGTGATCTCCCCAAAGTTAATAAACCAGAAAAGCAGCTTTGCTGTCTCAGCTTCCTGTTCCAGCCCTGAATGGAAGCTGAGCTCAGTAGGGTTAGTTTAGTTCCAGGGGATACCAGCCAGTCGGTGTGAAGGTTATGAAAACTCCTTTGCCTCCCAACTGCCTCTGGATGGGCAGCATCCTCTGCTCTCTGCACGACCCCGGGCCAGGTCTGTGCTGCCTCCTGCGAGGCACTGCCCTGGCTGCCAACCCCTGCCCCCTTTCGCCCCCAAGGCCAGGACCCAGCAGTGGCTTGACTGCAGGGCCCCAGCCTGGTCATTCTGGTTTGACATCCCCTCCTTTCTTTCCCCAGCACATCCCCCGTGCCATCCCAGCCAGCTCTTTGCTGTCCCTGCTCTACCCCTGTGTCTCCCAGGCCATCACTCATTCAGACTCCTCCCCACCGACCAGTCAGGTGGCCCTTAATCAGGCGAGCACCTCAAATCACCTGGCCATTACTAAAACCATGTCCTGTCCATGACTCAATGGGTGGGCTGGGGCCCAGGTGGGGATATTGTTTTGTTTTGTTTTGTTTGAGACAGAGTCTCACTCTGTTGCCCTGGTAGAGTGCCCTGGCATCACCATAGCTCACAGTGTCCTCAAATTCCTGGGCTCTAGCAATCCTCCTGCCTCAACCTCCAGACTAACTAGGACTACAGGCACCTACCACAATGCCTGGCTAGTTTTTTTCTAATTTTAGTAGAAATGGGGTCTCACTCTTGCTCAGGTTGGTCTCAAACCCCTGAGCTCAAGCAATCCACCTGCCTCAGCCTCCCGGAGTGCTAGGATTATAGGCATGAGCCACCGAGCCCGGCTGGGGGTATTGTTTTGAAAGCTCCTTTGGAGATGCCAGCGTGGACATTTCCCTGGCCCACCCGCTTTGTCCTTTAACAATCTCACCCCCTCCACAGCCACCTGGGTTGCCATCTCCTCTGAGAAGTGTTTCCTGTGGTTTCCTACAAACCACAGTTGGCTTTTCCTTCCCTCTTAGGCCCAAAGTCAATGCCATCTGACTTGCTGCTACTCTCAATTCTGCACTTAGCTTTTGTGCGTATCTTTGTTTCCTCGGGCACCGGCGGTCCGGTAGCAGGGCATCCCCTGGGAGTGTGTTAGACATGGAGAATCCGCGGCCCCCACTGAATCAGCATCCTCATGGTTACAAGATCCCCAGCAGATCTGGCTACACATTAAAATTTGAGGTGCACGAGCACAGAAATGGTCACCAGATACTTGGGAGATCCTGGTCAGGTATTTTTCCATGTCATTTGACATCATCTGACCTACTTTATTGGTATTTGTGTGTTGTCTGCCCCACCCCCCATGTTAGAATGGCAGGTCTATGAGGGCAGGGTTTGATCGGCTTTGCTCACTGCTGTGTATGCAGCAGGCACTCAATAAAAATGAACTGAATGAATGCTTACATTTTACAAAACCTCCCTCTGTCCTCCAGGATCATTTCTCTGCTGAGCAAGTTCCGATTGGGATTCCACGAAGTTCACATCCTCCCCGACATCAACCAGAAGCCACGGGCTGAGCAGTAAGTTCCCTGTGGGGCGTTCTGGGCAGAAGGGGCAGCTGTGTGCCGGCCCCCACTTTCTCCCTGCTGAGCCCATGGCAAGGGCTTTCCTCCAGGCCCACCTAGACGGGGCTCACAGAGAGAATGAGGGAGAGTCATGGCGGACAGACCTTTATTTTTACATTTGTGTTTCTTCTCTCTGCTCTGCTAGAGGTCTAGTCTTTGCCAGAAACCTGCCCGGCCCTGGAGGCTGATCACATTCACACCTGTCTTGGATCCAGCGTTTTTTAAGCCCTTCCAGGTGCAGGCTGTGGCTGTTCTACCACTCAGAGGCCAACATGGCATCACAAGGGACCGCCACCCTCCACCCTCACTGTGGGGAGAGGGGGGGTCTAGGGAGCCTCTGGCTTTGCAGCTCAGGCTGCCTATACTCAGGAAAGGCTGATTTTACCCCCAAAGGCATCTGGTTCAGTGATTCTCAAACGGTGGTATGTGTCAGGATGCCCTGGGGGGCTTGTGAAAAGACCAAATTTCTGGGTCTTACCCCCAAGATTCTGATTCAGTAGGTCTATGGTGAGGCCTGGGAATCTGCGTTTCTTTCTTTTTTAATTTTTTTTATTTTTTGAGACAAAGCTGCAAGCTATCATTCTGGGTAGAGTACCATGATATCACAGCTCACAGCAACCTCCAAGTGATTCTCCTGCCTCTGCCTCCCAAGTAGTTGGGACTACAGGCACCTACCACAACGCCCAGCTATTTTTGGGTTGCAGTCGTCATGGTTGTTTGGTGGACC